CAGTTGCTAGAGAAGGATGTCATGCTGGGTAAGATGGAGGGTCAGAGAAAAAGAGGAAGACCCCCAACGAGATGGACAGCCAGGTGGCATCATTGATGGCATCAAGTGTGGCAGCGGCAGTGAGGTTGGCCCAGGATTGGACATTGTTTTGTTCTGCTGTGCATGGGGTCGCTATGAGTCAGTTCCGACTTGATGGCACCTGACAACAACAACAACAAGATGACAGCCTGGGAAATTCCATGGGACAGTTCTCTGTCACGTGGAGACAGTCATCAAGACTCAATGGCACCAAACAGCAGGAACACATTCGAGGAGAGCAGCAGCCACTGAAGTGTTAAAGAAGAGACATTTAAAAGCATTCAACAGTGACATGGAATTTGCGGAGGACTGTGCACAGCTAGGGAACAGTGTCCATTTACTGGGCTCTGGTTTTACATATGAAGCATGGAGACTGGAGCTCCAGAGAGCTAAGCCGAGCGCTGACTCAGGCTGCCCGTCCCTGCCCCCCGTTACCTGTGTAGAGATACTCAGGTTGGTATGCAGGCTGGACAGTCAGAGTCTTGGCTTCGCTCATCTCTCGTGTCTGCAGGAGCACGGACGCGATGGCGTGGAAGTTACTGTTGTAGGACAGGGCAATCAAGAGGTGCAGCAGTAGTTTTTTGCTGTGTTCGAAGACCTCAGGCCGGTAGTGGTCCAAACCTGGAACACAACGGGACACATCTGAGCTCAAACCCACTGGGGGCTTGCTGACCTTCCCAGGATGGTTAAGATTCCCAGAGACTGGGGCAGAGCATACTAACAATGTATGTTCCTTAGGATTGGAGGGTTTTGGCTACATCAAGCAGGTGGGGTTTCTGAGAAAAACAAACACCTTCCTTCCCAAGTCAGAGGTTCTCCTAACACGCAGATGGGTGGATTGACCTCTGTGTAGCAAGTGACATGGGCAGCATCCCTCCTCCATGGAGGGTCCTGTCCCCTGCATCTCCCTGTGACCACAGGTTTCTGAATTTATTCATCGGTCTCCCTCTAGCTGAAGTGGCCTTCCTGAGTCTGGGGCGGTTCTGTCTTCTCCTTTCTCTGTAACGTGGGTGTTTTTATACTCAGTCCTTGGCCCTGAGTACCCTACATAGCTCCTCTGATTCGTGTCTTTGCTTTGTAGCATGGCTTTAGATTTATCTCCACTTATCAACCCACTGATTCCGACTCACAGCGACCCTCTGGGGTAGAGCAGAACTGTCTCACAGAATTTCCGAGGTTGGGCATCTTTACAGAAGCACACTGCCACATCCTTCTCCTGAGAAGTGGCTGGTGGGTTCGAACCTCTGACCTTTCAGTTAGCAGCCCACCACTTTAAGCCATGCCCCCAAAGCCCGGCTGATGTTGGCTATTTCTAGAGTATTCCTGGAACACCATTAGATAAGTTTATTACAGGAACAGGGTAATTCTGAAACATCTGGGGGGCTGAAATTTAAGAGATGTCATAGAAAGCCAATGGGAAGGGGAAACATAAATGTTTCTGAAATGAGGCAAACAGGAGGTCTAGGGGAAAGGACATCACCATGGATTGTGACCCTCGTGGGCCTACCTCACCTAAGAAGACGGCATGGAGCAACAGTGGCAGGTGGAGAGCCCAGTCCTCCCTCACGCTGTGGTCCACCACCATCTCCGTCATAAAAATGACAGCAATGTTGCACCTGGTGGAGGAAACAATGAGATTAAGACACCTTCTGCAAAGGATGGGACAATATATCACTTGACACGCAGCCGGGAGCAGAGTGGCAGTATAGTGCCAGGCTAAGGCTCCACAGATGTGAAGTTTGACATCTGGGCTACCGCAGGGTTCCACAGCAGGAAGAAACACTGGTTGAGCTAAGCACACAATGGGGCGTGGACAGTTGTTGGTGCCGTCCACTCAATTCTGACTCACAACGCCCCCTGGTGTAACAGAGCAGAACTGCCCCACAG